CGCCTGCGGCATGTGTGGTGCTGCAGTGGTGGTAACGCCATCCCAGTAATGACCACAGCTCGCCGCTGGTCCTGTCCTAGCCACTGCAGAGGTCCTGTCCACTTTGTCCCTCCTGGCAAGAAGATGGCTTATGTCTAGCTTGCCACTGGGAGCAAGAAGATGAAAGAGTGAAGATAAAAAATAAGCCATGCTTGTAGGTATAATATTGAGGACTCATGCGGCATTTCTGATACCAGGCAGGGTGTGTGTTGACTCTTTTCCATCTCCCTTTCCCCAGCCACTGCAGAGAAAAACTGGCTTGCAATTGCCCTCCTCCATTCATTGCAGCATTTTTCCTCCTCTTGAGGGCTGGTAGACTCCTTTCCCCTATCCAGTCTTGTACTTCCAGCCCCTTTCCAGGGTGACAAAGCTCACTGGTATTCATGGTCCACAGCCATAGCTGAGTGGGTGCGGAGTGGAAGGGGATGCTGCCCGACCTGGGAAAGCTGCGTCCTTGGGTCTGCCAAGAAGACCACCTCTGGAAGCTGATGGCAGAGTAAGAAGTTGAGCACGATGGCAAGAAAAATGAAATCCATATGCCTTGTACCAAACAAGAGAGTAATTTAAGTCCTCCTAATTGCTTCCACTCATCCTGGTAATGCTAAGTCTTTTCTCCCTTTCTTTTCTGCCCCCCACCCCCAGCTCTTGCACTAAGCCTTTGAAAGAAACGACTAATGTTATAATTAAAGAATCAATTTGGCAAGATTTCTTTGTCTTAAGATCTTCTTTCTTTTAGGTTGGGTTAGCTCTGCGTTCCCAGTCTCCGGAGAGTTTTCTTCAGCTCCTTCAGGAGCCTTCTGTACCATCTCTGAAATCTTTTCACTTCACTTAATTTGAATTTTTTTCCCATCCAATTCTGAGGCATAACAAACGATGAATAAAATTAAGTTTTATAGCAATTAATAATAAGGGCGTTGAAGGAACAAGTGTACATTTTCAATGGAGGCAGGGTTTTTTTTTCTCCTGGCTCTACGTAAAACCTGGGCCTCGTGCATTCGAGCTGGAGCAGGTGGTTTGAAGCCAAAAATGCTGGGAAGCGGATTCATGTCTTGGAGGTAGGCTGTAGAGGGGAAAGCAGGGAGACATGTCGCCACAATGCCGGGATATCGTGAGGGATAGCAAGATGCCAACGAACATGCCCAAGAAATACTGCATCTGAAGTGCGAAAGCTTGGAAGCATCGTTTCTTTTTTTTCTTTAATGGTTGTAGCATCTCAAGGAGCGGCTCAGATGAGATTTAGAATGCCTGTGCCTATCGTGTGTTTGGGGATTCACTAGTTGGATGCTTTTGAATAGAAGTGTGG